TCTCATGACAATTAAAAAAAAAGGTCATGTTGTGACACATGGTCAGTTTAATGTGGAGAGCCCAAGCACCTGAGCTAGAAACAAAAATTGCCCAAGCCCATACAACCATCTGTTGCAGTGGCCTTAGTGCAAGCACCAATCCCTCTCACTAGTGCAATGAGAGGGTGCGGTTCCCCAGGACTGGTCACCTCTTATTATGTTTCCTCAGTTGCGACTATCCTTTGACTAGCCACCCCTGAGTGTACTCTGCCCAAAGACAGAGATGCAACTGAGAGATGATAAATAAATGTGTTTAAAATTACTTTAGAGTAATTCACACATAAAAGTTCAATATCCGTATTATATATTATCTACTTTTAGGCAATAACACTCTTCCGGTTTAAGTAATTTGCACATTGATTTTAAAAAGGTTTATTTCATTAATTAACTGTCCTTCATTACTGTTCTTTTATTCGAGGATTGTTTTGATTTCCATATCAAAAATAGTGGTTTAGGAATATCGTCTTATATAGTGTAGAAAAGTTTTTGAAATTTGCATCTTACTTGGCCTTCAACAAGTTAGCATCTATTTGTAGAACTTTCCTTAACTATAACAAGCCAATTTATGAATGAAATGTTCATTTAAAATTTTTATTTCAAAGATTTCAAATAGTGAATTGAGGCGAATGAAGAAAACAGTAACCAGCGGTAAATTCAAGCTCACTCAGCTGGTATTTCAAACTTGAGTCGTTCCTTCTTGAGTTCTGTCTCCAAAAACTAACTGCCCGTTCTAGCCGTCAACCGTGAATCTAAGAACTTCGCCGACTTGGAAAAAAGTAGTTGTTTTATAGTTGTTCATGTACCCATAATCCCTTGCATCTTCCTGTGATCCCATAATTCATTGCGTCCATGTCCCATAATGCATTGCGTCCTTATTGGATAAAAATGTTTCTTTTATGTTATCTGGCGAGGATGGATTACGGCAGATGTAAGTGCTTTTTTTTCTCCCTCATTTCAACTGCAGTAACTTTACATGCCAAATCACGGGCCCTTTTTGGCGGGGACAAGGCAAGTGCGACTAGTTGTGCTCGTCAGGTTCTGTCTCATGTCGCCCACACTCCCCCTGATCTCCTGATCACACAGATGACAGTGAGGATCGGTCTTTTGTTCAGGTGCTCCTCGAAGAATTGGTTGAACTTCTTCATCAGAGAGCTCTCATTAGACCGTCCGATCTATTGGCAAACTACCACTATCGGGTGATTGGTTTTGAATCCAACTCTATGTATATTGGCTGTTCACTATCCTCCGTGTCTTCTTCGTCAGTTGTGGGATTTGAGCCCAAAAAATATAGGTCTCTAATACGACGAGGTGTTCCATCGACCCGCACTGACTGTGACTCACCAAACGTCCGGTTCCAAATTTGGTGTGCATTTAACGTGGAGTCTTAACCAGACAATGTCCCCTTCCTTGTATTTCCCCTTCCGGTTATTTGTGATTCAGGCGGGGGCGTCGTCGATGCCTCTCACCCAACGTGGTATGTGTGCAGTACATCAGCCGGTGCCGTGGAAGGTGAAAGTTGTCCTTAGGTGAAACGTTATGCCAGTAAACCGCTTCAAAAACAATTTTTCTCTAGGCTATTTTTAGCGCTTCTGTGGTTGCGTTCCACAATGCCATTTCCATCTTTACCGGAACCTTAAAGCCCCAGCTGTTCACAAATTCCTAAATTATCTGCAAGTGAACGTGGTGTCATTGTCAGTCATATTTCGGTCGGCGGGCCTCGTCGGTAAAACTGTCTCTAGCTGAATAAACCAGCAAAGTCTTGCCGTCTCAGTGGCCGCCATACTGCAAAAGCGGGAGGGATAGTATAAAAAATGGCTACCATTGCAATGGGTTACGTCCATTGCTAACCTGCTCAATTTTTTCTCACTCAAATTTCCTTTCTTCCAATGCACTGGTGCTGGATCGTCGATTGGCAGGCTTCACAGGTTCTAACGACAATTTCACCAGTTCTTTAGACACCGTTGGAACAGTGAAAGTACATTGTTCTTTTTAACACCTGGGTGCCCACTCTGCTGGTGGATGTGGGTCACCTGGCGTTTGCTAAACTGGCTCGTTGCGGTAAACAACTCAGCGGTTCTCCTCCCCTTTCTTGTGCATCTCCAACCAGTTTTGCGGCACTCTGGTGAGGCTTGTTCTGAAAAGACTTCCAAAATTAGTCATAGTCAGTGTACTCCTTTGGTGTCTCTAGACATCAGCATTTCACCGCTTTGTGTTCAGCGCGTCCTTCCTGTCAGGGTGTTCCATGTTCATGCTGAATGGGTGACCACAAAACTGGTGCCTGCCACTGCAAAGATGTTTTCGCATCAAGCTCAGAGATTAATGTTTGGCATCATTGTTTGGACGCAACCAGCAAGCATCTTCCACGGCGGCTCCCATTCACCTCTAGTGCTACTCCCAAGCCCAAGCTTGCATCCACCCAAACTGTCATTTCATTTGCCGTTCATGACACCAGTCTTAGACAGGATCTGATTTAGCTCTGGATTATGTTTCCTCCAGCCGTCCAAGAGGGCATTTTATCTCGTCGTCCCATCCTTTGGAAAGTGTATTTTAATAAATGCAGTTGCCATGGCACAGGAAATGATAGAATTTGAAACAGCAATTTTGAAAAAACCTCCCGCTTCCATCAAAGGGAGTTTTTCTTCCCAGACTTGCAGACCCAGGACCTTAGTTCCGTCTCTCAATCGCTCCGGATCTTTACAGACTAGCCCGTAATCTGCAAAGTGCTGTCTTCTTTTTAGGCCTTCATTTATGAAGATATCGGCGACGTATAGTTTTCTTAATGTCCTGATCCTGGGGGCGTTATCATGTCGTTCACTGACTTCATGACAAGTGGTGCCACATTCAGGCCAAAAGATAAAGGCAAAACGCTTGCCCTTAATGACCACTGTTTGAAAGCGGCCAAGCGATTTGTCAATGTGAATCTGTAAATACGCATTTCTCAAATCCAACAGCGTCGTCAGCTCATCTCGCCATTTAATTTCTGCGCACACACCTCTCGTCAGCCGTGGAATGCGTCTACAAAGCCGTTCAACTCCCGATAGTGTCGGACCTTCTGTTTGTGTTCTTATGCGACCGCCATTAAGGAATTAATCCCTTGGGTGGACCCAAGCTCTTTCTCAGGATATGGCGGTAGCCATCCGTCTACATCCACCGTGCTAGTTCTTCATCGTATGCATCCCGGACGTGGCCAGGTACTGTGTACTCCCTTTATTGACCAACTTGCTGGGTGAATAACCACTCGCCCACTTCACAATGCAGTCCACGTTTTTTGTGCTCGGGTTAAATCTAAAGTCAGGCTTGTTGATAACAATGGCGGCACATGTGATCAGGTTTCCAAGCGAAGCGCCTGATTCGGTCAAGTAAACACCTCCGAGCACTTTGATTGCATCAAAAAGAAGATCGAATCCAGCAACTGCCCTTCCACGACCAGAACCTCAACATCACGGGCTGAATATGTTTTTTGTATACGGCACAGGGTCTTTTCAACCTCTATCCAGCAGCTTTGATGTCTTGCTCACCAGATCTGTGAGCATCCTGAATCAGTAATGACTCTACCCATCTACAAATTTTTTTTAATGGGCATTTCCGGTTTTTGTTGCTCGGGAGAAGGCTGGTAAAAAATAGGTTTTACCTCTTCTGAGGCGCGTTTCTACGGATATTAATACCTTAACAATAAAATCCGTCTAATTTCCTATTATTCGGGTCAGGAATCTGTTCTAGGATCATGTCGTCCATCCTGGAAGAAAGCTTTTGATGTGGCAGTCCTGACAACAAATGCACATGCCATCCACCGATCAGGTAACGGTTCTAGCCGCGCCAAACGATGCATTTCAGCCAGGAATTCATCCACAGTTTGACATGACGCCCGTCCCATTTTGCGAAGCATTAAATCTATGCAGCAAGGGCCCGTTTAATATTCGTCTACATTTAAAGTTTCGTAAAGGCAAGATTTCGATCTTGTCCATGGCACAAAGTTAGACCAATTCCACTTTTCTATCCATTCAACAATGGGCATATCCGTAAAACCACAAATTCTGGAATCAAGCGGACGTCAAAGACCTTGCCTTCCATTTGAAAATCAATATGTTAAATAGCTTAGGCGAATGAAAAACAGTAACCCTAAATTCAAACTCAGCTGGTATTTCAAACTTGAGTCGTTCCTTTTGAGTTCTGTCTCCAAATCACACTAACTTTGCCCGTTCTAGCCGTCAACGTGAACGTCCCTGAAGAACTCTGCCGACTTGGAAAAAAGTAGTTGTTTTATAGTTGTTCATGTACCCATAATCCTTGCATCTTCCTGTGATCCCATAATTCATTGCGTCCATGTCCCATAATGCATTAGGTTCCTTATTGGATAAAAAATGCCAGTCCCCCCCTCATTCTTTTTTATGTTATCTGGCGAGGGATGGATTCGGCAGAAGCGGTAAGTGCTTTTTTCTCTCCCTCATTTCAACTGCAGTAGCTTTACATGCTAAGCAAATACGGGCCCTTTTTGGCGGGGACAAGGCAATCGCGACTAGTTGTGCTCATCCCAGGTTCTGTCTCATTCCGCCACATGAATATATCTTACTTTGCAAGGCGATAGTGAAGCCTGCTAGTCTAAGATAAATTAAAGTGATATTCTTTATTATTGTTCCAAAATTTCAGTTAATCTAAGAAATTTAATAACTTTAGTGTTGCGTAACACATAGCTGACCCAGTCTAGCCTTGCAATGTTTCAACAGTGAGTTTGGAACTTCTGATCTAAACACAATGTAGGTGGAGCAGTTTCCAGTCCAAGATGTCATAAACCAGCAACTGGGATAACTAGCCTGATACTCTTGACTACAGTGTTACATCTGATGCCATGACCAAGTATTCTTGACTGAGCTTATCACAGAAATACACACTCTTTATAGTTATTATTTTACCTTTTCTCCAATTCACAAAGATACTAAATTTAATGCAAATAAAAATCTTACCCTTTTCATCTTGCTTGGATCGAATAGCAAGTGTATCATTACTGAGAGAGGCAGTTAAGTTATTCATGAGTTCTGCCCTCATTCCACTGTACTTGATAGGACTAACCAGACGGCCATCATACGAGTGAATGCTTACATTTAAGCCATCAACCAACAAGAAATGTCTGTAATACAATTATCAAGATCACTTTAGAAAGATATTCTTTCATTATTAAAAATATTACATCTAGGCTTTATAGTTCATGAATAAGTGTTTACAATAAATCAACTTTACTCAATTAAAAGTATAAGTTTTAAGAGGAATATTCTAATGTAAATAAATATCAGGTAATTCAATGGAGAATAAAATAAAAAATTTAAAATAAATATATATAAAAATTTAAATATGCAGTTAGCAATCAATTATTTTAATTACATGTAGAACAATACAATTTTAAGTTAATAAAACTTACTTTCAAAGATCTCTAATATTTCTTATGAAGGAAAATGAAATTGCTTTTAAAGTGCATTTAAACATCTTTAAACAAATTGATTCAGTAAATACTTAATTTTTTAATCTAATATTTTAGAAAAGCTCCAAAATTACTTTTCAGCTTGGACAATAAGGGTGACACAGCCTTCTTTGAGATCAAATATTAGTGGTGTGTTCCAGTTCTTGATACTGAAAAATTATTCAAAATATGTTTTACTGCAGTGCAGTGATATTAACAAAACAAACACATTTTTGTTCATTTCTTATTTCACAGAATGCTTTTATAATTAACCATTTGTAATTATTTTACTATGATCCAAAATAAGGCAATTATTTTATGATTATATTTGTATGCTTGCTATTTTGCATATAAAACACGGGAAAATAAATTTTAATTTCTTTTCATGAATAAAATAAGTATAGAATTCTGAAACAGATTTTAAAATTATTCAAAGATTTTTCTTCTTTTATGAGCTGTGTCCCTTCAGGGCCCTCCACAATTTCCTATAATTTGTAACTAAGTTTTTAGTTTGAAAATCTAGTTTTCTGTTGGTTTCAGAGTTCATGATTCAGTAGTTCTTTCTGATAGGATGAAAATCTGAAGCTGTTATTTATATACCCAGTTCCATGCTAGAATCAAGTATTGACATGGAATTGGGTATATAAATCACTGGAGAGAGAAGTGTCCAAAAACTACACCTTCCTGTTGATATACACTGGAATGTAACTGGAATTGTGTTGTATGTATACAGAATATCAACATTTCCATCAAATTGTTTATCTAGAACCAGCTATGTTTCTCTAAGGAAGGATACATGATTAACAAAGCACCATCTGTCAAAACCTTAATAAATAGGTTCATTATATTCAGGATTTTCATCTGTAAAAAAAGCAATTGAAAAATACATTTGCTGAATAAAATGAACAAAGATGAAAATGTTAATCTGAATAACTTGTGAAAAAATGACTCATCTTAGAATTTCTGACAAGGAAGCAAAAGAAATGAGTCACTGAGCTAAAAAAATCAATTTTTTAATGTTCTGCCATTCTTCTTGACAGTAAATCAAATGCTCTAAGTTATTTAGTTTTTTGTTATACACACAGATTTTCAACTCTCCCCACATAAAGTTTGATGATGTTAAGGCCAGGGCTTTAAGTGGGTCGATCTTACAACACTAATGAAAAAACTTTTTTGTTGCACATAATATCTGGTAAGATGTTTCATCATGTTGGAATATTTCATCTTCTGTCATATCTAGTTATAGGTGGAATCTTAACAAATAAAATATCTATTTCTATTATTCCATCAACATTTATCAAATTTCTTGCTGCAATGATTTTGATGTAGTCTCAAAACCACCAAGTTTATACTCAATTGCTTTTTTGCATCAACTGATCTTTTGATATTCTCTTTGACATTAGAATGTAGTTCAAGTTTTCTTTTATTACTAAATATCACTGTTGTTATTTACTAAGAACAAGACCACAAATTTGGAGCACCTAGTAAGGAGCAAACTCACAACTTGGTTACTTAGTAGTAATGATCAACCTGACAAACTAGTTAATCACTGTTGCCCATTTTACCTTCTCCCACAGCAAATGTTCTTTTTATGTTGATTGCGTTGTTGTTGTAATGCATTCATTTAGAATATCTCTATATTGTTTACTTACACCTCACAATTTATATTGCTTTCATCTATTAACTGACTTTAGGTTGGATACTGATAATCCAATTTGGCGTTCTTTGATATCTTTTTGTTTAATTTTGAAGGTCTAGCCCTGTTTTTCCTATCCAAAATGCTTCCAACATCAGCATACTTCTTCTTGATCACTAGGATAGAGTAACTCAGTATTCCAAGCTCCTTGGCAATTTCACATTGACTCATTCTTTCTGACATTTCAATGATTTTCATCCTCTTCTCATTATGAATTTTAAAACTTGGTAAAAATTAAATTTGATTCTTCAGGTCAGCTATTGTATTATTAAGATTTCATAGCTATTAGAAAACTGAAACAGAATGAATTGATGTTTATGAAAAAAGATAATTACTAATTATTTTAGTAATATTTTTCTTTCTCTTCAGTGATGAAATAGGCATTTTTATTTTCTGAACTATTACTGAAATTAAAATAAAATTTTTAAAAATACTAACAATTAAATTTATATCATAATTTTTCTGGTTGCAAAGCATGATATTAAATTTATTTAAATTTTTCTTTGCAAGAAAGAAATATAAAGGGATTATAATGACAGAGAGATAAAGAGACATAATTGCTACTGACCTACATTCTCTCAATGCTTTCCATTGTTCAAGCACTTGTACACTTTAACCACCTAAAGTGATGGTTCTTTCTAAAATTTTTATTGAGTATAAGCTAGAATATTGTGTACCACCTTCAAACTTGATGAATATCAAAATATGCTAAATTTAGGATGTTGGTTGATATTTGTTAGTTGATAAATCATTTAGGTAGTGTATATATAGGGATCAACAGTATTATTTACATGTACAAATATATACACATATTCATTCAATCATATACAGAGAATAAAATTAATAGAAGAAATATAGGTAATCTAGACACTATAAATACCCCCTCTATTATATCTAGGAATCATGCAATTTTGACCAAGTATTTATTTTTATCAACACATTGTCCATCTTTTTTTGTAATATATAAACTATACATTTTTTTTTTTGTTGAATAAGCAAGCAGATTTTCTTTTTGTGTTTGTTTTCACTTTTCTATTCAACTTCATTATCATGTGATGATATTTTTATTTCATTCATCCTTTCGAAAAGAACAATACAAATCCCTTCTTGCTGGTTTTAAATATGTGAATAAACATAAAAACCTTATTTTTTGCATATTACTACTTACCAATGAAATACTGATTATCTACAAGTTTATTTCAAATGATTTTCTTTCTTTTCAAAATTACCTCATCATCATATTTATATGACATTCAAATAAATACATGAATACACTACAAAGTTTGTATAATTTGATGTCTATATAGTTAAATTGACACCATTCTATATTTACAGCTACTACAAAGTTAAGTAAAAGAGCTGTAATTTTTCTAATATTTGAAAATTTAGATTAACAATTGAAAGTAAAAGAAATAGGAACTAGCACCAGATTTGAAAAGATAAATCTCTTTCAAGCTGGTAAATTGTTCAAAAAATGTATCACCAGTGTCTTGTCAACTTGTTGGGGGTCAGAATTGTTTTGCAAGAACCTTTTGAATTGAATAAAAATTAAATCGCGCATCTCTTAAAAGGATATCTTATTTCTCATATTTCGTCACTTCATGAAAAACAGGACTCAAATTATCTGGACAATGAACAAAATAATTAAAGTTTCTCTTTGAAAAAATTTATAAGGACACTATCATTCAAAGTTACCAATCGCTGATAAAAAGTGAAAATTTTTGTTATCTGGACGTTCGGATTATTCTCCTTCATGAAAATTCTATTCAGGTGTCTTTTGGAGTTGAATAAAACTTTTGGATAAATTCATTGTCAAAATTTATTAAATCAAAGACCGGACAAATATATGACTAAATATTAAAACTGGAAAATATGAAGGAAGCCAATTCACAAACACTAAAAAAAATTTTGGTATTGCGCAACTATCTCACTATTCAGAAGTCGTCGTGGATAAAAGTGTCTTATTAAGTCACATAGACCAGAATTGACTACATAAGGCTGTAATATATATACAAAGGAAGCCATACCAATACTAGAAAATATTTAGGTTAAGCCAATCTAACGAGTTTTGCATGTAACCTCACAGGTCATCTCCACAAACCAGTAACAATTGACCAATTTCTACAGAGAAGCCATTTCTAAAGATTGTAATACAAACCAGTAAATCAGAAGCCTCGAGAGAATCCATTCATGATGCATTCATCAACGGCTTGGACTCTATTTGACAGAGATTCCCCGAGAATGAATGCTTGCAGAATGCTTATAGCCAGGCTCGTTCTCTCGATCTTGCACAAAAACTGCTGTTGCATTTATCCAACAAAATCCATCGACACCGACCATGCAGCTGCCAAAGAAGAGAGACCATCTGCAGAAGCCACATTAGCCGCAACAAAATCACAATGTTAGTTTTGTGGAAATCTACGTCACCCACAAAGCAAATGTCCTACAAGGCAAGTGACCTGCCATAAATGTTCCAAAACTGGACATTTTGCAAAAATGTGCCACTCAAGCAAGTCCAATACTCGGTCAACTTCAGTTGTTAATGCAGTCAAAAATGTCAATCAACAACCCCACACTTTAAAGTATTTATTCTGCTGCTATTAAAACTGGATTTAAAGTATTCACTAATAGGGTAAAGGACAAAACTGAAAACCCTGATTGACAGTGGAAACACTGACAAAAGCTTCATAAGCCAAAAAGATAAAATTTGGTCAAATTGAAACAATACCCAAGCTGGGAAATCTGGTGCTCAATGTCTCGGTTTCAGGATATTGTATTATGGACCTCAACCTTTTGAATTGAGTCACAATGTTCATCTTGTAATTGATTTGTGTACTGATATAATACTTGGAACTGATTTTCATTACAGCATGAATGTGTTTTCATTGTAATGGCAGCAAACCATGCATTAACCTTTTTTTACAACTATTAATGTCAACACTGACCGTATTCACTAATTTTTAAAACAAATTCAAGCAAATTAAAAATTTTCAAGACCAGACCAACACTTATTCATTCAGAGACACAACATTTTCTAAAAGAAGAATCATTGAACCAAGCCTATCACCATGGACCAACAACCATTAGTTGTAAAGAGGATGGAAACCATAGAAAGAGAATGGTCATCAATCTTGCTTCTTTTAATTTTCATCCAGTGTCGTGAAAATTAAAAGAGAATGTTTTTGGACACCCTTTTGAGGTTGTGCTACCTTCTCAGACAACAAACTGTTTCATTTTGAATGCTTGGTCATGGTTTATACCTTCATTTGTGATTAAACCTAATACTCCATTGGAAATGTCATTTGTTTAATAAGCCAAAACTTGTATTTTAATTAACCAAATTTCCACAAACCATCTGATCTACACCTAATCAAAGCCACTCAACCTTTTGACCATCTGAGCATCAACTTTAAGGCTCCACTACCTTCCTCATCTCGCAACAAGTATCTGTTAACTATCGATGAATTTTCCAGG